GGTGTTCAGAATGGTTTGATCCCTATCCACCTGAATTCCTGAGAGGAGACCAAAGCCAGGTCTCCTACTCCTCCGCCATCTTGCTCCGCCTACCAGAACATTTTTAAGACCCCAAAAAAGAAAGCCCGGACCCATAAGCACTCACTCCCTCCCACCCCCCAGCCCCTGGCAGCTGCCAGTCTCCTTTCCATTTACGTGGATTTGCCTGTTTTAGACATTTCACATGGATGGAATATACAATACGTAGTCTTTTGTGTTTGGCTCACAGTGTTTCCAGAATTTACCGTGTTGTAGCAGGTGTTGGTGCTCTTTACTTCCAATAATATTCCGTTGCCCAGACAGACCTCATTTCGTTTATCTGTGTGTTTGAGGAGGTGGACACGTGGCTTGTTTCCACATTTTGGCAGTTATGAACAATGCTACTCTGTGCGTGTGCACACTTCTGGGTGGACACGTTCTCAGTTGTCGTAGGAGGGGAATTGCGGGGTCACATGGTGAGACAATTTTTACCTTTTTAAGGAACTGCCATGCTGGTTTCAGAGTGACTTCCAGCACCGTTTGGTCACCAGCAGGTGCGTGAGAGTCGCAAGCCCTGCACACCCTCACCAGCTCTCACGCTGCCCGTCTCGCTGACCACAGCCCTCCTAGCACCCGTGTGCATCTCCCGGACGGCGGGTGATGTTGGCGGGTGATGTTGGTCATCCGTCCCGTGTGCTCGTGGGCCACTTGCTTATCTTCTTTGGAGGAATGTCTACTGAAATCTTTTGTCCAGTTTTAAATTGGATTAGTTGTGTTTTTACTGTTGAAATGCATTTCTCTGTCTGTTCCGAATACTAGATCACTATGATCCGCAAATGTTTTCTTTCATTCTGCGGGTTCTCTTTTCACTTTCTTCACAGGGTCCTTTGAAGCACAAAAGTTTTTTGTTTTTTTTTTTTAAGATTTTCTTTTTTTATTTGAGAGAGAGAGGGATAGCACGAGCTGGGGGAGGGTCAGAGGGAGAAGCAGGCTCCCCACGGAGCAGGGAGCCCGACGCGGGGCTCGATCCAGGACCCCGGGATCATGACCTGGGCCGAAGGCAGACGCTTAACCACTGAGCCACCCAGGCGCTCAAAGCACAAAAGTTTTTAATTCTAATGAAGTCCAGTTTATTTTTTTGTGGTTGTTGTCACTGTCACTTGTGTGTTTGGTGTCATAGCTAAGAAACTTGCCAAATCCAGCCTCCTGAGGATTTGCCCCTTCTATGAGTTTTATAGTGTTAGCTCCCACATTTAGGTCAGTGATGCATTTTGAGTTAATTCCTGTAAATGGTGTGAGTCAGGGGTCCAACTTCATTCTTCTGCTTGTGGACGTCCAGCAGTCCCAGGACCATTTGCTTAAAAAAAAAAGGATTCTTTCCCCATTGAATTGTCTTCGTGTCTTTGTTGAAAATCAGCCACAAATGAAGGATTCCCTCTAGACTCTCAATTCCATCCCATCGATCTGTTTGTCTGCCCTTATGTCTGCACCACCATCTCTTCACCACCGTAGCTTTGTAGTGAGTTTTGAGGGGGAAGCGTGAGTCCTCCAGCTTTGTTCTTCCTTTTCAAGATTGTTTTGGCTGCTCTGGCCCTGATTTCCATATGAGTTCTGGGACCAGCTTGTCTACTTCTGCAAAGAAGCCAGCTGGGGTTCTAGGAGTGATTGTGTTTGTAGATCAATTTGGGAGTACTGTCATTTTACAATATTAACTGTAACCCACGAACATGGGGTGATGTTCCACTTATTTAGATCTTAATTTCTTTTGATAACATTTTATAGTTTCCAGCATATAAGTCCTACACATCTTTTGTTAAATTCTTCCTGTTTTTTATTCTTGCCGATACTATTGTAACTTGGGTTGTCTGTTGCTGGTGTATAGAAATACAGTTGGTTTTGTATATTTATCTTATATCCTGAAACACTGCCAAAATCACTGACTGACACCAATAGTTTTTTTGGGATGTGTGTGTGTGCTGCTCAGGATTTTCTGCGTACAGGATCATGTCATTGCAAATAGAGGTACTTTACCTCCTCCTCTCCAATTTGGTGCTGTGACATCTCTTTCTTGCCTAACTGCTCTGGCTAGAACCTCCCGTACAAGGTGGAAGAGAGGGGTGAGGACAGACATCCTTGTCTTATGTCTGATCTTAGGAGGGAAAGCGTTCATCTTTCATTATGAAGTGTGACGTTAGCCGTGGGTTTTTCCTAGATGCCCCCGTCAGGGTGAGGAAGTTTCCCTTCCATTACGAGTTTGTTGAGTGCCTTTGTCATGAAAGGGTATTGGATTTTTTAAAAATGCTTTTTCTGTCTATAGAGAGGATTATGCAGTTTTTGTCCTTTATTGATATGGTGTATTTTATTGATTTCCAAATGGTGAGCCAATCATTTATTGCTGGGATAAACCCCACTTGCTCATGATACAGAATCCTTTTCATATGTTGCTGGATTTGGTTTGCATTCAGTATGTTACTAAGGATCTTTGCATCTATAGAGATAAAGACCATTGCTCTGGAGTTTTTTCTTGTAATGTCTTGAACTTTCGGACTTTCACTGGTCTTGTTTGGTTGGTTTTACGTCTTCCTTTGTTGTCTTTCCCTCCAGCGCGGGAGCTCCTTGGGGCCAAAGAGGTGTCCCATGAACTCAGACCTCCAGGGCCTGGCGCCCTGCCTGTTATGGAGGAGTGGGTGATGGTGACCCGAAAAATGACAGGCCCTTCTCCCTGTTTCACAGCACTCATGCCCATGCAGGACGCCGAGAGCATCCTCGTGCCATCATGCCACCCCTCCCCTCCGTGCCTGGGACAACAGGGGAGCTGCACATGGCTGACGCTGGCAGGTGTTTGGTCACTGAAAGGCAGGGAATTGACCTCGGTGGCCCCTTTTACAGGAGATCCATCATCACCTCTGGGTTTGAGGGCAGCACACAGCCCGTGTTCTTGGGGGGCCGTCTGCCTCAAGACCCAGAGTTCGTGGCCACGCCCAAGCCCACAGTCTGTAATGAGTGTGGAAATTTGGAAGTGACTATTTGATTTCTTTTTTTTTTTTAAAGATTTATTTATTTATTTGAGACAGAGTGAATGAGAGAGAGAGAGCACATGAGAGGGGGGAGGGTCAGAGGGAGAAGCAGACTCCCTGCCGAGCAGGGAGCCCGATGCGGGACTCGATCCAGGAACTCCAGGATCATGACCTGAGCCGAAGGCAGTCGCTTAACCAACTGAGCCACCCAGGCGCCCCGTGACTATTTGATTTCTTGTGGTAATTTGTATTTCTCTGAAATCTCCTCCAGAATATTTTTCAAAAAAAATGAGTAACTTCATGAGAATAGGATTAATAAGAGTGTTCTATATTGGTTCATTAATTTTGATAAATATACCATACTCCATACCAAGACAGTAAGAGAGAACTGGATGTGAGATATATGGAAACTCTCTATACTGTCTTCATAATAATTCTGTAAATCTGAAACGTTTACAAAATTTAAAGTTTATTTTAAAAAGTGTGGGTGAAGATTTAGGTTAAATTGTTGTTCCAAATAGTTGCCCAATTTCCTAGCACCTTTTATGGAGTAGTAAAGATTAATTTGTTCACCTGCTACTTATGTCCTGAATTCTCATTTTGTGGACTCGGGGTCATTGATCTACATATTCTTAGATGGGGTACACTTTCAAGCGCTCACAGCCATTCCCATCACTTATTTATAAAATCTTCTTAACCATCTTGGCCTTGTTTTCCCTCAAATAGGAAAGTATCAAACAATTTTATTGACATTTTATTTGGAAATGTACCAAACCCATGTTTTTGTTTTGGGCAAGAGTCGACTTCTTTGTGTTGATCTTCCCACTCAAGAGTATGGCTTGGTGCTCAATGTAGTCAAGCCTTGCTTTTGCTTCTAATAATTGTGTCATTTTCTTAGTGTGTAGACTTCTGTTATTTTTCTGATGGCGACTTCTGGCCACTAGTTTTGTTGCAGTCATGGGACGTGTTTTTCTTCTGGGTTTTGTTGACTTTCTGTGTCTTCCGTGTCTGGTAACCAGCCACTTTCTGAACTGTTTATTAGATCTGAGTGTTTACTCAGACTCTCTTGGATGTTTTTAAGCCACATTGTCATACCGTCTGCAGACATTCATTTGGTTTTTTCCCTCATTGCAGTGGCCAGACCTTCCAGATTGATGTTAAGCAACAGTGCTGGAATTGGGCCTGTCACATGTCTACCTTTAATACCCCTGACCGTGGGTCTAGGACTCTACTGTATCAAGGAAAATTGCTTGTGTTTCACAACTCTTTGTCTTGTTGTTGCAGCATCTCATGTTACTGGAATTTTCTAACAGATGGAAACCATACAGTTATTTTCTAAATGAACCTTATCAAAAACCACATTTTTTTTTTTTTTCCAACGTTCTCAAGCCTTTAGCTGTCCAGGTGGCCCAAATGACACGAGAGCCTTCACCTTAAGGGAAACTGAACTGCAGGACAAAGAGCAGAGCCCCAGCTCAGCCCGTGGACCCTGCTCCCGGAGCCCAGATGCCACAGGACGTGGCAGCCATCCTGTGGCCACCTTCTGAACGGAGACCCGGAGTTCTCAAGAGGGCAGGGATGGTGCGGAGCCGGCAGGAGCATGTTCAGGGGAGGGGTTGGTGAGGATGGGGTGGGCGGTCCTGGCAGGAGGGCCGGTGTGTGGGGACAGAGGCCACATAGGCAAGTCCAGGCTTCCAGGCTGATGCCCGGGTCTGACTCCCGACTCTGCCAAGCCTGGCACGTTTCCTCCTCCCCCACCCCTGGGGCACAACCCGCCAAGGTCTCGACTTCAGCCTGCTCCTCCTCCTGGGTGTCCCGCGGGGTGGACAGTGACCCCTGTGCCCACACCATCCTCCCAGCCAGGCAGCCCCTGGATGCCCCCCCTCCCCCAGGGGACAGGAGCCTGCAGGGTGGACCAGGCCTGTGTCCCGGGAGGGCCCCGCACACACACAGGCCTGGCCCGGGGAGGAGTTCACCACATGTTTATTGGGTAAAGATCACAGAAAAGACAGTCGTGGGTGCTGTCCACACATGGGAAGCAGTCCCTGGGGGAAATAAAGAACATTCTCGAGTCTGGGTTCGCGTCAGTCAAGGCATGTTTAAGGCACACAGCTGGTGGCCTCCCTCGCCTCGGAGGACACGGGTAGGCCTGCTGCTCGGGGGCGGGCGGGGAGGACTCTTCTTCCTCACTTTCTCACGGCCGCCAGGCCCGGCACGGGGGCGAGGGCCCCCCTTCCTGCAGGGCAGGCCTTCCACCACCGGCCCGCTCTGCCCTTGCTCGCCGGTGGGCCGCCGAGGAGCCCCCGCTCACACCAGGGGGATGGGGTAGGAGGCGCAGGCTGCCAGGCCGCACATGTTCTTCCCGCGCTCGATGAGGAAGTACCTGGGCGGACAGAGTGAGCGAGGCCTGGCTGGGGCTTCCTCACCACTGCCCTTTCTGGAATGTTCTACCATTCCCCAAGGTCTGACTCCAGGGGTGAGGGCCTGGCTTATCGCCAGGAAACCGCCGACCTGACTCTGGACAACTTTCCCTTCCGTCCCTCGGGCTGCCGTCTTGTGTCCACTCCCGCTGTCCTCACAATTTACCGGGGCTCCTTAGCCCCCACGAGGCCCTCGCTCCGTGACGGAATCGTCATGGGCCCCCCGAGGACAACGGGGTCTGACAGCAGACACGACGGAGCCCCTCCGGGGTGTGCACCTGGGGCCCCTGGTCCCCAGCCCCTTGCCCCTGGGAGAGGCTGTGAAGGGTCAGCAATAAGCTTGCGGCCTGGATCTCTCCGACCCGCCCTCCCAGCCGCCGGCTGGGTCCCGCCCACAGACCCTACTGGGACAATGGTCCCGACACAGAATCATCGGGATGTGGGGCCCAGGACAGGAGAGGGTTGCACGAGGGCATCTCGGGTGTGGGGTTCAGCCTCAGGCTCCTCCCCCGGGCCTGCACCGGGGCCCGGCTGACCAGCCCCGGCTCAGACGCCATGTACCTGACAGGGAGGAGACCCCCAGGCCCCCAGACTTGAGCAATGACGCCCCTCCCTGCACATGGGACCTGGATGCTGCTTACCCGTTCATCCCCCACTGGGGACCCCAAGAGTTCTTCACGATCCAGTAGGGTATCCCATTTTGTTCTCCGTACCCAACAGCCAGGACCGCGTGGTTGACTTTATCCGGAGTTTTATGACAAGACGTGCTGGAAACGGAAAATATAAAAGGTTTGAACATGCAGGAAGGAGGAATGCATCGGGACGGCTCAGCCCCGTCCGAGGAGGGTCCTCTGAGGCTCCGAAGCAGTGTTTCCCAGCGCGGGGAATCCGCTCTGCTCCCTCGGTGCCAGACCCTGTCCTCGGGAAGCTGCATCTGGCGGGGAGGCAGCCCGAGGAGGGGGTCAGCCCAGTGGGGATGGGGGTCCCTGGGAAGGCCCCTCAGTGTGGCTGTGGTGGGCAGTGGGCCCAGATCCCCAGGGTCCCCCAGCCCAGCTGACCCCGGACCCTGGGGGGTGGGGGCCGCTGGCGCGGCTGAGGCTGGTGCACCCAGGGAGCGCTCCCAGGAGGTGGATCCTGGCCTCCGCTGCACAAGGACACACGGGTGAGCGTGCATTTCTGGGCGGCGGGGTCTCGGGCAGCGCGGGGACGGGGAGGACACGTGCTGGATCTGAGATCTCCGTGGCCACGGCTTGAGAGGGCAGGACGGCCCTGGGACTCGGGCCTGCTCACGATGCGGGGCAGGTGAGTGGCCGGGGGCAAGGGTGAGGCGAGCCCGTCCCAGAATAGCTTGGGGGGAAGCCCCCAGCCCTGGATCCTGAGAGCAGCTCCTTCATCCTCCCACTCGGAATGGGGTTTTCGGAACTGGAGGCCGCTGCTGCCCTCGGGCTGGGTCTGCCCTCCCCGACGGCCGCAGGGTCAACGTGGGGTGTATGGAGGGCCAGCCCTGCCCGCCACGGGGACGCTGCCCGGCCCCTGTCCCTGCGGGGACCGCGGCTCACCTGGAGTAGACACCTTTCCTGTACATCATAAAGTCCCCGGTGACCTCGAAGGCGAAGCTCACGGGGTTGTACAGGGCCACGGCTTCTACCATCGCCTCCTCGTCATTCTGTGGACACACAGCCTGGCACCTCCCTGCCCCCCTTCCCAAATACGGCCCTTTGCCCCGAGGCAGGGATGGGCGCCCGAGGGGGTGCGGGTGTCCGGAAGGAAGGAAGAGAAGGCTGTGTGGGACCAAACAGCCACCGAGGGGCACGCTGCCCCTCCTCGCAGTCCCAGGGATGTGCCACGAGCCGGCCTGCTGCGCCCACTGCCCAGCTGGCTGTGCTGGACGCTGGCCTCCCCGCGGGAACACCCTGCCCATCGGAGAGGAGGCTCGCCACTCACGATGGTGATGTTGGCCACGTCCTTCACGAAAGCGATGGCCTTGCTGGGCTGGAACTTGCAGTCACCGTCCTGTTCAGGGCAGCAGAGGGCGTGGAGCTCGACTCAGGGGGGCCCAGCCCCAGGCCGAGACTTCAGGCCTCCCCCGTGCCGCCTGCCGGCGTCTGCGCAGCCGAAGCTCCGAGCGCAGGGCCCGGGCGATGGGGTCACTCGAGAGGGGGTCAGAGGCATCCCTGTCCTCAAGGAGCTCACAGAGGCGACCCGGCCCAGCACTGCCTCCCGCGGAGGTGGGCTCGCGGAGCCTGGGGTACCCGGCGAGAACCGCAGGTGGGCAGGAGCCTGCCTGGCGGGGGCGGGGAGTGCCAGTCCCGGTGCGCACAGGTTCGCAGACACAAGGCAGGCCCGGCGGAGGTCACACGGAGGAAAGAGCGCGCACTCCCGAGACAGGACAGAAGGTGGGGACGGCGGGAGGCACAGCGTGGTGTTTGGGAGCGAGCCAGCAGCTGGGCCGGAGCCCCAGGTTTACGAGGGGCCACACAAGGCAGGTGAGTGGTCAGAGCGAGGTCTGGGAGACCACCTGGCGGCCCCGGGAGAGCTGGACGAAGGAGACAGGGTCATGGACGGACCGCAGGAGCGGTGTGGGGCCTCCGATGGCTGGCAGGCGGAACTCTCAAGTGAGGGTCTGGGGTGGTCAGCCCGCCAGGGGCCAGCAGGTTTTGGGAGGGCTGGTGTTGGTCATCAGTGAGGGGAAACGCTGGTGGAGCCACAGGTTTGGGGGCAAAGACAGGGCCGTGGACGGGCCGGGGTGAGGCGGCAGCAGGCCCGGGGCAGAGCGGGTGCAGGTGCTGGAGAGCGTGGTCAGCGTGAGAGTGACCGCATGGCCGGTGCTGACGGGCGGGAAGGGCGGCGGAGGCCGGCGCCCTGGTGACTCGGCGGGAGGGGACCTGGGAGAATGGGAGCCGCGGGGGGCGGGGGGACGGGGCTGCCAGAGACGGGCCGGAGGCCGCGGGTCTGGTGAGGGCGCTGGGCTCGGGCAAGCCGAGGGGGTGCAGGAATGCACTTGTTGAGTGTACACGATTCTGGTGGGAGGGGCCTTGCTGCAGCTCAAGGGGAAGACGGTGCTCCCCGAGGCTGAGGCGGACAGCGCTGGGCAGCCCTGCAGGCCGAGACCGCATTACCTGGCCCTTGTAGGGGTAGCTGTCTTCACCCATGATGCCCTTGTTGAACCGGATGTACTCAAAGGCCTGGCTGGGGAGGCCCCTGCAAGAAGCACATGCAGAGATGCCCCCCTGCACCGGCCCCGGTGGCGCCTGCAGGGCTGGAGGCCTTGACCGGGGCACGGCCCGGCGGCACAGAAGCTCTCCGGGGTCCGGGGTGGGCTAGCGGAGCCGCCCCACCTGCCTGGCCCCAGGACCGCGCTCGACAGAGTCTGGAGAGACGCCTGGAGTCCGCGGACACCCGCACGTGCCTCAGGGACCCCGGGCCAGGCCCCTGGTCAGGACGGCGGAGGGGACCCGCCCAGCGCCGGGGATTGGCTGCCGCTGGGCCCCGACCGGCAGGTGCTCGACAAACGTGACTGCCGACCCCTCACCCACCCCGTGGGGCCGATGCGGTCGTTTCCTGGGGTTCAGAAAGGCTGAACAGCTTGCCCAGGATCCACGCATGGCCGTCCAACCACGGCTCCCGGCAGCCCCAGCCCGCCCGCTCCCCCTGCCCGGCACCCAGCACCCCCGACCCATGGCATGCTGTTCCTGGTCTCGCCGGCTAGAACGTCAGCCCCTCGCGCTGCGCTGGCTGCCGTACCCCCAGGGCCCAGCCAGGTGCTCCCGGAGCTAGCGCACAGACCCCGATATGCGGGGTCGGCTGCCGCCTGAGCAGGTGCAGGCCGCCTGGGCCACGGGGGGAAGGGGGCCGGGCTGGACACACGTCTGTGCCAGGACGGCTGCCACGGACTCGAGGCACACGAGATGACTCCCCGGCGACCGTTCTAGGAAGGGGCCGGGAAAGCAGGTCCAGCAGACACAGCCTTCAGGCTCGAGCACGTCAACTCGTAGAGGGTCCCTCACAGCCGGCCAAGTTGGGCTGCTTGGAGCTCCCTCGGTGCGGGAGGGCCAGCCAGACCCGTGTGGGGACCTGGCCGCTGGCCTCGGGGGCTGACGGGGCCGCGTGCGCAGTGGGGAGAGGGCCGGGGGACACCGTGGAGGGCCCCGTTCTGGCCAAGGGACCCCAGGCCGCCTGACCGTCCCCGTCGTGACAGCGCGTGGGGCGGGGCTGTGCTGGGCTGGACAGAAGCGATCGTGGGGAGGGAGGGGGGCTCCGGGCCACGCGCGGTCAGGGCCGTACCCTTGGCAGCCGTGATTGTTGAAGTTCTGGGCGCAGTCCACTAGCTGCTGTTCCGCCTGCAGGAAGGCACGGGGCGCAGAGCGGGGGCTGGGCGCCGCCCAGGCCTGCTGCGGACCCTGCTCCGCCTCCCCGCGCGGCCCTCGCCCACCCTGGCCCCTCGCCCTGGGGTCAGCGGCTGGACATACAGGCCCCGGCCCTCTCTCGGGGAGGCCCGGGCAGGGCACAGATCCTAGAGGCCTGCCCCCCCGGCAACGAGCCCTGGGCTGCCTCCTCAACAAGCCGCGTTCCTTTCTAGGAAAATGGGCGTCCGGTTTCGCAGGCTGAATGTCCACGAGGCGGGGGGGCCTGATGTCCAGGGAAACAGCATCCCCACCTGAAGCCCTAACGGGGCCCGAGGGCCCACCCGGCCCTCCCTGTCAGGCCTTGGGGCGAAGCTGTGACCTCGGGAGGTGACCCCAGTGGCAGACTGCTTACCAGAGACAGCAGCTTCCCACTTTTGATGGCGATGGCGGACTCCAGGGCCCCCGTGGTGGAGAAGGTCCAGCAGCTGCCGCAGCCGCCCTAGGGAGGCCGGGGTCGGGGCTCGGTCACGGGGACCCCAGGATGCAGGCCCGGGAGAACCCCAGGCTCCCGTCCACGCTGACCCTCGCGGGCCCTGTGCGGCCAGGGTCCTCCACATCGCCGCTGAGGTGACCAGCCTCACCAGCGCCCACCAGCGCCCGCCAGTCCCGGCCCCTCGCGGACCAAGCCCACTGGCCATTCTGCGCGTTGCTGGCTTTCCCTCTGCGTCTGAATCTTACGCCGTCTCCTCTTCTCCCCAGGGTTTTTCAGAAGGACTCACTCAAGTCTTGTTTCCAGAACCTTCTCTGCCACCGCCCCGCCTCCAACCTCATTCCACCCACAGTCCTCGCAATTAAACTAGCAACTCCTCAAGCCTGGCACCAGCCCTGACCCCCATCCAGGCCCAGACACCTGCCTCTGTGGGCTCGCCCCCCCCTCGCCCGCCCACCTCCTGCCACAGTCATGGGCCAGGCTCTGGACACGAGGGTCGGGCACCGGAGCGTGCCTGCCTGGTTCCAGTCCCGGCTCTGCCACATGCCCGCTGTGCGAGCCAGGAGGTCACTTCCCACCGCTCAACCTCCACTCCGTCATCTGGAAAACGGGGCCGCGTGCCTGCCTCCCAGGGCCGTCAGAGGCGCAGATGTGGTCCTGCCGGCTCATCTGTCTCTTCCCTGCACGGTTCTGCCTCCCGAATTCCTCTCACCACCCACCCCCTTCCCTGCCCTCAGGAGGTCGGCCCTCTCAGCTTGCTGGCCTCCCTCTGGTCTCTTTGTCCCACATCCTTCCGTCGGTACGGGACAACCCTGTGTGAGTGTCTCTGGCCGGTCAAGGCTTGGGCCTGGCCCGGCTGAAGGTGGCAGAGCAGGCCGAGCCACGGGCGCTGGACTGGGAGCGGAGACCTGCTCTGGAGTCGCCTGTGTCCCCCGTCTGCCCGGCCGCCGGGCCAGCCCCTCGCCCTTGTTTACCGCTCTGTGAAGTGGGAAGCCCTCGAGGGGCGGCCGAGCTAACGTTAGATCCTGCTGCTGCGTCTACATCGCATGGTGGCCACAGCGAGATGCCACAAGCTTACGGGCGACCGCCTCCGTCCAACCCCCACACCCAGGCGGCCCAGTCTGCCTGATGGCCCGGGAACATACCTGACGGACGTCCCTGCCTACTTGCCCAACAGTGAGCATGTTCAGGCTTCCACACCGAAAACCCGCTGCTTTAAACTGTCATGGGATTCTTGGGTCACCTGGCTGGCTCAGTCGACTAGGTGGCCGACTCGTGGTTTCAGCTCAAGTCACGATCTCAGGGTCGTGACATCGAGCCCCATGCTCAGCAGGAGTCTGCTTGGGATTCTCTTTCTCTCTCTCTCTCTCAAATAAATAAAATCTTTTTTTTTT